CAGTTACAAGCATCACCCAGTAAATCCTTAACAAATGCGGGCCTCTCCGACTTTGCCTCCTCTTTGTCAACTTGTGTCAATTTTCTTTAAGCATGTTGACTTTAAAAATTCTAGCCATTGAGAATCTAAGTTCAAATCAAGGACATTAAAAATTCTGATTTTCATCTCAATCTATACAGAGTAACCTTTTAGCCACATCCTTGCAAATTCCAGCAATTTATGAATGTGAGGACCTAATATCAAAACCCTTCATTGCTGCTCTTCCCAGCTTCCCTCTCTCCTGTCCTCTCCTTTCTCTCTCCATGGTGGTTCTTTATTCGACATACAGTAGGACTGGATCTGAAGATCCCAAACCAATCGTACCAGCAAGGAAACTGGCTCTGGGAGATGAAGTGCTTCCCTCAAGTGCAGTCAGCTACTTAACACCATCAAAGCAACCGGCTCTAAGGCTGGCTGGAAACCAGATGTCAGCACGGTTACATGGTTACATCACCAGCAACTGAAACAAGGGGAGGGCCAAGAGAGGTCAAGGTAGGAGCTCCCTGGGACCTGCGGGCTAAGAAATACTAGAACCCAGTTTCGTTTGTTAGTTTTTGATTGTATGTGTATTTTTATGTGGTATACTAGTGTATGTGCAAGTGTGTGTGTGTGTGTGTGTGTGTGTGTATGTGTGAGAGAGAGACAGACAGACAGACAGAAGCAGACAGAGAGAGAAAGAGAGAGAGAGAGAGAGAGAGAGAGAGAGAGAGAGAGAGATTCACGTAGAGGCCAGAAGTTGATGTTGCATGTCTTTCTTGACTACTTTCCACCTTATATATGGACTCAGGGTGTCTTGCTCAAGCCTAGAACTTGCTGGTTTAGCTAGTCTCCTTATCTCGCTTGCTCTGGGGAATCTCAGCTTCCAGAGTGCAGGGACTACAAGAGACCATCACAGCCACCTAGCATTTGCATGGATTCTGGACCCTCTGTTTACATGGCAAGTGTTTTACCCATTCACATGTCCTGAGTGTGAACATCTAACGCTTAAGGATATGGTGGGAACTTGAAACTTTATAGTTAATTTCATTTTAAAAATTTATTCCTTGAAACACAACCCTAGTTCCCAATTTAAATATCAACATGTCACCATTTAAATGTAATTTATTATGCATCAGTGACTTTATAGGAATATGATAGTCCAGACAATTCACCAAATGTCTTCAAAGCTTAGCTAGAAAGGGGGCTGGAGAGATGGGTCAGTGGCTAAAAGCACTGACTATTATTCCAGAGGACCTGACACCTATTGCAAAACCCCACTAGTGTACATAAAATAAAAATAAATAAATTAAAAAGAAACTTAACTAAAAAGGGCAAGAAACCAGGTGCTTCCTATGATGGAAGATGAATTCTCCTTTAAAAAAAAATCTGAGGGCTGGAGAGATGGCTCAGTGGTTAAGAGCATTGCCTGCTCTTCCAAAGGTCCTGAGTTCAATTCCCGGCAACCACATGGTGGCTCACAACCATCTGTAATGAGGTCTGATGCCCTCTTCTGGCCTGCAGACATACACACAGACAGAATATTGTATGCATAATAAATAAATAAATAAATAATCTGAATTATATTCTCATATTTTGGTAAATGGGGCTTTTTTCTTTTTCTTCTTCTTTTTCTTTCTTTCTTTTTTTTTTTTTTTTTTTTGGTTTTTCAAGATAGGTTTTCTCTGTAGCTTTGGGGCCTGTCCTGGAACTAGCACTGGCCTTGAACTCACAGAGATCGGCCTGCCTCTGCCTTAGGAGTGCTGGGATTAAAGGTGTGTGCCACCACTGCCCAGCTATAAATGGGCTTTATTGAGGTTCACAGTTTTGACCTTTGATAAATCTTTGGCTTTTATTTGTATAAGTAAAGGAAAGCATGTATACAAACATGAGTAAATAGGGCATTTTAAATATAACTTTTAGATAGTAAATATCAAACTAAGATAAAGTTTTAATCTCATTTTTAAACTTGCGCGCGCGCGTGTGTGTGTGTGTGTGTGTGTGTGTGTGTGTGTACCATGCACTTTATGCATGTTGGAGCCTGTGGAGGCGAGAAGAGGATGCCAACTCTTCTGGAACTAAAGTCATAGGCAGGAGGTTGTGCGCCATCCTGTAGGTGCTGGGAACTGGACCCATCCATGTCTTCTGCAAGAGCAGTAAATGCTCTTAACTGCTGATCTTTCCAGCCCCAGCTAATCTCATCCTTAAATGTTGGCAAGGCATTAAACATTTAAAAACTTCCCTGAAGGTCAAACATGACACATCATATCTACGTACCAGATTTAGTCCACATCTGGCCAGTTTGAGGCCTCTACGTCCTGTTAGCCTAATTTAGATGTTCTAAAATTTAATTTGCCTTGACTTTTGCACTGCCTGCTTAACAAACTTCAATGGCTCCTGACTGTCTGCTAGATAAAACCTTAACTTCCTTACTTCCCCTTTAAGGCAATCCAGGACCAGATCCAAGGTCTTAAACCCTGTTCCCACTTCACAGTCTCCATTTCCCATAACAACCACATCCTTTGGACCTGACTCAAGGCATGGAACTTTCTAGAAAACACAGCTGTTCCTTGTTCCCAGGGTTCCCCTCTCTGAAATGTCCTCCACCTTTGCATTCCTACTTCAAAGTCCCACCCATCCTTAAGTGTCCAGCTGAGACAGCCACAGGCTTTTCTGAAACTCACACGATACCATATACCCCTGTCTTGGAGTTACACACACCTAATAACATTCCTGAAAGAAATGTTTGGGTCTTGGGCTACAGTGAATATTCCCACAGTGCTTTGTACTCGCAATGAGCCCAGTAGACAGCTCAGGAACACTAGCCTTTTGTCCTGGAAATGCGTGGGTACAACATAAACCAAGTCAGCAGAACTCTAAACTTCCACATCTAAACTTCCACAACAGAACAGGGGAGTTTTTGTCTGTCTGTCTGTCTGTCTGTCTGTTTGTTTCAAGCGGGACAGGCTCTCAATGCAAAACTCGCGGTGGCTTCTCAGGATGCCAGCCCAGACTTTTGCTCCAGGCATTCTTACATCTCTCTACCACTTTTATGTGGGCACCGTCACACGAGAGGACTTTTCAGCAGAGGAAGGCTAGTGGGTAAGACCTGACAGCAATTGCTGTGAAAGCAGACAGCTAGCTGGGCCACCAAGGTGACAAACCCACAAAACATTGTTCAGCCAGTTCTAGCCAGCTGATTGCTCCCAGTGCTAATGTTGACTGTGGGACTTGGGAACTCAAATCTCACACTTGTTTCTCTCTCTCTCTCTCTCTCTCTTCCTTTTTTGAGAGCTCACTCCCATATCCAGCCATCTCTCTATTCAGCTAGTGCCAAAAAGGAAAAGCTAGATTTTATTTTACTTTTACTGCCCTACATAGGACTAGTGGCACTTGATAAAATGTTTGCTGAATGGATTTTAACATTCAATTTTTACTTTTCCTTGAAACAAGAGTAATTATCCATTCGGCAGCAAGCAAAAGAATAAAGGACTCTGGCTTTTAAGAGGGCCCAGCTCTGCACGCTCATGGGAAAAGCTGGCGTTGTCTTATCTGAAGCCAACAAGGGTTGAGGTGTCAGCTTAGCAGTTCCAATTAGCATATTCTGAACACCCTTTCTGACTTGAACAACTGTGTACTAGCAAGGGCAAGTAAAGCCTCGTAAACATTTATGTCACATGATAATCTGTGCTTGGGAAGGCCAAGACAATCAAGAGTTCCAGGATGTGTTGAAGACAAATGATGACCACATACGTTCTCCCTGTGAAGACAGCGCTTTGCTGTTTTGAATGGTGTCATGGTTGGTCGCATCTACGATCTAATGTTTTACCAAAAGCAGATCATTCGTTCTTAAACTTTTATTGGGATTGTGTCTATTGCAAGCATAAGACATACTGAGGAAGTCCCCATGGAAAGAAAGTCTGTTCTTTGTAATTCTGTGGGTAGAGCAAGGAGAAATAGTATAGGTCTCCAAGCAAGTCCCTGTCCCCATTTTATTATCTTTTTTGACAAAACAGACTTAAAGCAAAATTAATCAGGTGGGCTAAGCTTATTTACTCTTTATACAAATCACCTCTGAGTGAGGAAACTAACATTCAAGATAATTTTCAAGCATAAAAGGAATCTAACCCTTTGATTAGTTATTAAAATCTCACACTTGGGACAATAGTAACACAATTTTATGGATGCATTCTTGTAACAAAAAAAAAAAAGATTCATGGCTTTGTTAATGCATAAGACCAAAGTAACAGGGTTAGGAAAACTGGAAGTCTGAAACCAATCCATGAAAGCTCGCTTGCCCTGCTTGAAAGAATACAAACGCTGCTAGAGGCAGAACTTTTTTCCTCTCCCTGACCTTGGGGGCCATGCAAAAATAAATGAGCACCCCATCCCCTTTGATGCTCATATATGCATACATTTTGTGTGTGTGTGTGTGTGTGTGTGTGTGCATATATAATCTCCAGCATAAACCCGTGTTGTTTAGGCTGACAATCTTGTTTTCCCAAAGAGCAAGCAATGAAGAACTGCAGCCTGAAAATATTAGTGTTTCTCCTAGGGAAGGGCGATGCTGAGACCTTGGGGACACGACTCTGCAGAGTTGACACTGGGAGGCCCATAATGAGTTTTTGCTTCTGAGAAAGGTGTCACTTTTCTTTTTTTAAACTGTGAAAGGAACCTGGGGTGAAAATAAGTAGAAATCCACTCCCATTGCCCTCAGATCCTTGCAGAAGGGGAGGGAAGACTCGAGCTGGGAAAGCGAGGTTCCTGGGGACCCAGAGGCCCACGAGTGAGGCCAGGAGCGTCCTAGGGGAAGGGGGTCTGCTGTGAGGAGGGGAGGGGGTGAACGTGTGGCAGCGTCACATGTCGCTCTGCCCACTCGCAGGCCGCTGTCGCGCGCGCGGAGAGCTGACAGGAAGGCCTGGAGGCTCCGCGGGGCCTGCGTGGGGCTGGCGATCGCCGCGCCCGGGTGCGGGCGGCGGCCTTACCTGGTTTCTGCGGTACCAGGCGCTCGACAGTGAGCCGTTGCCCGGGCCCGGCGCCCAGTACGTGAAGTTCCGAGACAGCTCGTCCAGGACGGCCGAGGCATCGTCCTCGGGGCCCGTGGGCACCGGCGCCGCCATGGGGACTGGCTCCGCGCTAGGGCTCGGGTGCCGCGCCTCCCCGCCCGCCGCTCCCCCGCAGCCTCTGCCACTTCCTGCCGGGCGGGCGACAGGGCGCGGGCACCTGGCTCCCAAGGCGCGCAGGTGCGGTCGGGCTCGGCCTAGCTGTCGCGTCTCCTTGCTCTACCCGGGTGTCCACACCTGTCAGGGCAAGAATGAGGTCATCTCCTTTGCCTCCAGGATCTACTGCGTGCAGAGCAAATGTTTGTCCAAGTGCAGGAAGGAAAGGAGCCATCGGTTAACTCAAAGAGTGACCCTCGCCCTTGGCAATCCCACTTCTCGCATGTAGAAGGTCTAAAATGGTCCACATATGGGGGTGCGGGGAGAGAGAGTCATGACTTCTCTCTTTCCAGTATTGTGAGTAGTGTGGGGATTAAGAGCCCAACAATGGACTGACCCTTGGGAACTATTCCTGGGAGAGAGAAGAGATACCCTAATGCAGATGAAGACCCCCAAGGTGTGTGCGGTGACTGGATGAGCTTTCTGTCAGACAGGGTCATGGAGACTGCCGAAAAGTCGCCAGCTGCTATATATAAAGATGTAGGTTCGAACAGAAACGCTAAGAACAACCTCAAGAGCTCCTACGGGCTGTTCTGGTCTGACCTGTTTTTAACTCTTGTCACTACAAGCGATCTCTGCATCATCTCTCACTTTGAGCGTTCTGTGATCTTGCGTCTGCGCTTGGAATTTTTTTGTTTATAGGGCACTGGGATTCTGCTTAAGCAACATACTTAACATCCATAACTTCGACTTCGAGAGAAGGCCGGAGTGGGGAGGAGGGAGGGGAGGAAGGAGAGGGAGAGAGGAAGGGAAGGAAGGAGGGTTATTTTTCCAGAATCCTGTCTAGCTGGGACCCGGGAGAAGGCTGTGATGGCTCCTTCGGGAAAATATGAAATGAGAGAAGAAAGTGTGAAAAAGTCATCCAGGTTCTGCAGAAACACGGGAAGTCATCTCGACAGGTGTTGTTTCCTGCTTGAGCAACCAAAATGTTGAGTCAATAATAATTGTAGCAACTATTCTCAATTTAAAGAAACAAACTTATTTTAAATAAATATCTTAAGGAAAAATACCTATTTGCTGTATTCCATTATTTCTATAAGTATGGGGGCTAGGAATTGAACCCATTGTTTTTTGCATGCTAAGCAAGCACTAGACCCCCGGGACACATGCCTGTCATGTGATTCTATGATGTCACTTCTATTCCCTTTGCTTTGCCATGCCTGGGATCCTCCCACCCTCTATTAGAAAATGTTTTTTTCAGAATTTCCAACCTCCACACCCATCATCTTTCCTCCTGTGACCCCATTGGCCAGGAATCGGTCACATGCCTGGTTTTACCAGAAAGTGATTTCTTGGGCATTTCCAGCCTGGAGAGTAGGCTGTGAGTTCTGCCAGAAAGAAAAGAACAAGGCTGGGTGGGGTGGCAGAGGGGAGCTAGCAGAACTGGCATGCTCACTCTTAGTGTTTTCTTCCAGCCAGATTGTAAGTAGGCATGCAGTCTCTAACACGCAAAGCAGACTTTCCTGTTGAGCGTGCCTGGAAGCCTCCCCCGTAGACAGGTTTTATGCACGCTCTGTGAGACCTTCGTAATCAGGCCCCCATAACTGCGGCACACACCTCATTTCTTTTTATTTCCTAACTTAGAAAATCAGCTTCGATTTCTTTATATTTGCACAAAACCTCCAGTTTTGGAGAAAGCGCTTGGGGGAGAAAAGATGTGTGGTGTAGCCTACGCTATGCCGTTCAGTTGATCGATAGGTTCCAAGATGTGAACGCCGTCGCTGTGGCTGTCCTAGGGTGTGTGGGTGTTTGAAAAGCAATTCGTGACCAGGGTTCCTTCCCACAGGGTTCATAGGAGGCGGCAGGGATACGTGTGAACTATTTTGGTCCCCGTGGTGTAGGTGGAGCTTCGGAGACTGTTCTTGCTTTTGATGGCCTCTGCCTCTTGCAGGGCTTCTGGGTGGGGGTGAGGGTGGGGGGCAGAAGCCCCGTTCATTTTTACCGGATATGATCAACCTCCCCGTTCTCAGGGCTCCAATCTGGAGGCTGACTTCCTGTTAATTCTGGCGCCACCCCGTTTGAAGCTGGGCTTCACTTTGCACTTGAAGAGTGGGTTCCATTTGGTCCTCCTTATTTGGGATCATTTAATTGCAGAAATAATAACACTTTAAAAGCACGTTTAGCAAGACTTGGTTAACACTAGCTTTTTGTTGCTTTTTTTTTTTTTTTTTTTTTTTTTTTTTTTTTTTTTTACAACAAACGTCTCACAAATGGTAAGTGGAGGGTCCCAGCGACTCACTTTTTATTTATGCAAGTGAACCCCAGGCCGGAGACTTTAAATAGATAGGCAGAGCTTTAATTTTGTGACAATAACGTAGGAAGAAAATAAACAGAAGCCTGGCAGACTGCCTGTGCTCGAGTCCTAACGTCACTTGTTTGCTTCATTTCTCTGAGCCTTTCAATCTTTTACAAAAAAGGGAAAGATGGCTCAATGGTTAAGGACTGCTCTTCCAAAGGACCCAGGTTCAATTCCCAGCACCCGTGGCAGCTAACAATCCTGTGTAATGCCCTCTTCTGGTCTCCTAGGGAAACACATGCACATAGTACACAGACATACATGAACACCCACACATGTAAAATAAACATAAATAAAACTGAATCCAATAACCGCTGAAGTATTCAGTAAATGTTGGCTGTTATTACCTATACCTTAAAATAGAAAAAATAAAACTTCTTTAAACAAACACAAACACGTAAACCATAGAGGGAAATTTGACATCAAATTACAATAAAGCTGGGAATATTTATGCATCGATAGACTGTATAGAATATAAAAGGTAAGTTAGGAACTGAGAGTCTGTATTTATCACACCTACAACTGACAAAAAATTGTAGGCTGATTAAAAAAAAAAAGCAGATAACCCAGTGGATAAAACAGGCATGTTTTCTTGAGAAAAAAAATGAATGGTTAATAATAATTATGCAAAATGTTTTAATCTTAATGATAGACAGAGAAAATGCAAATTAACATTCTGGGCGAAAACCACTTTTGCCTCACTAGTTTGAAAAAGTAAAATTTTAAAGATTTAGATATCATACACTACGTACACAAAATGGAGTTCTGTTCAGCCACATAGAAAGTGAAATTATGTCATCTGCAAGAAAATGGGTGGAATCAGAGATTGTCATGTTAGGGAAAATAAACCAAGTGCAAAAAGGCAAATATAACCTGTTTTTCTCTCAGATATGGATTTTTTTAAAAAATGTGTGTATTTGTGTGCATGCATGCATGCATGAATTTGTTCATGCACTTATGGTGCCCAAAGACACCGGAAGAGGGGATCTGACCCTCCAGCCAGAGTTACAGTCAGTTGTGAGACACCTAATATGGCTACTGAGAACTGAACCCTCTGCAAGGGCAGCAAAAACCACTGGGCATTTGTCCAGCCGTGTGTGGAATCTTACATGAAGTGGCGTGGTATGCATGTATGACTTACACACATCCTCTGGCGTTCACTTCACTTCTATGTGGGATCGACAGCACAAAGTGAGTGTTCTAATGTGTTCGCTACACTATGTTATTTAGGGAATACTTTCAGACAAAGTCTGCACTTGTTCAGTCCATAAACATCCTTCCTAAGTATTTTTAATTTACTTTGGGTTGAATGCAAATGCTGGGGAATATTATTTTAAGGTGTGTTACTTTTGTTTATGCTGTTGGACATTGGTTTAATGATGTAAAGATGTGATGCTTTTGTTTATGCTGCGATTGTTTAACTCTGTGAAGCTGTGATTCTTCGCCTGTCTAAAACAGGGTGTAATAAAGAGCTGAATGAATGACCAATAGTGAGGCAAGAGCAAGGGTGGGTGGGGCTGCCAGGCAGAGAGAATGTATAGAAATGAGGAAGAGGGGAGAACTAGAGAACAAGAAGAGGAGGACGCTAGGGGCAGCCACCCAGGCAGCCATGGTGTCAGAGTGAAAGTAAGATATCCAGGGGTAAGAAAAGGAAAAAGTCCAGAGACAAAAGGTAGTTGGGATAATTTAAGAAAAACTGGCAAGAAACAAGCCAAGCTAAGGATGGGCATTCCTAAGAATAAATATCTGTGTGTGATTTATTTGGGAGTTGGGTAGTGGGCCCCTCAAAGAGCCAAAAATGTAAAACATCACACAACATACAAGTAGGTGGCACTTGCAGATCCTGAAAGCTGAAAGTGTACCCTGAAAATAGAAGAGAACAACAAAACCACGGGATTGAGGGTCTGCATGATGAAGTCTAAGTGGGAAGCTCAGAGTCCCTTAGGTAGCACTGCTGGGTTCTGCGAAAGGAACCACAGAAGCCGGGGAGGTTTCCATGGAGAAACACCAGGACTGGCAAGCTTAAGAGGATGTCATGGCCCAAGAGAGGACATAGAGGAAGCTGGGGGAGAAGAAAGGCAGCTGAAGAGGGAGGGAGAAGCATGGGTTTCAGCTGTGTCCTAGTTGGGATGACTGAACACAAAGGCTGTACCACTGTTTGAAGTGAAGAAGAGGAAAGAATGGGGTTTGAGTTTGATACTCATGGAATTTACGAGCTTTAGAGCATCCGAGAAGAAAAGGATGTGCAGGGATCCAAAGGAGGAGTATGTCAGAGTCGAGGAAATCAATATGGGAGTCACCCACACACAGGTATCTGAGACTAGCCGGAAAGAACATGCGGCGAACTTCTTTTAGAGCAATGGCTACATCGTAAGTATTAGTGTTTGTGGGCTATGTGCTCTGTATCGTCATTATTCAATGGTGCCACTGCAATGTGACAGCAGCCAAAGACATGTAAACAAGTGGTTGAGACTGTGTTCCAATAAAGTTTTATTTACACACACAGAAGGCTGCTGGTTTTGTCCCAAGGGCCATTGTTTGCCGGCTCCTCCTTTGGAAAGAAAAAGATCAAACACAGCACACAAGGCCAACAAAGACCACTGGAGAGGTAAATGAATAAATACTCCACTAGAGTTCATGGTACGTGAGTGACAGGATTCCAGTTTAAAGAGAAGTCATAATCAAGGGCTGGAATGGCGGAGTGAAGCTTG